GGAGAATTGGTCTGGCAAAGGTTTTGTATGCCCTAGTCAACAGTACAATGTTATCAGAGAAGAAGCTTTGCAAAATTAGGTTAACAACTCTTAATGCCTTTTTGGCAATGCTGTTACAGTGAGCTCTGGGGCTTAGATCATTTGAGATAAGCACTCCTTGAATGAATGATTGTTAAGGCTGGACTTTGTTCGGCACATTCAAAGTCTGAAGACAAAGACGGGTTCCTGAGCAGGACAGGGTAGAACAAGATGTGTAGCAAAGGTGGAATCAGAAGGACACATGTCCTTAAAGACAGCTTTCTGAATGGGACTGGTGTGAGGGACCTTGCCAGAGTCTGTTGCAGAAAAATCAAATCCAGAAAGCACACAACAGATAACTGATTCAGCAGGATTCATTAACTTCTTTATATGCATAATAACACATGAATAAATATACAATACCAACAGCAGATTCTCCCAACGTGGTAGACGGGAGAGATTGTTTCAGTTCAGAGTTCAGAGAGCAGACAAAACTAGTTTTAGTTTCAATTCTCAGCACAGCAGTCAAGAGCTGTAGGGCTAAACCACGCCCAGGCTCCAAGCTGTTTCAGCTCCCATTGGCTGACCTTGTTACTAAGCCCTATTCATTGGCTGACCTTGTTACCATGTCTCTACCAGTCATGAATATTCTGATATTTTTACAAATATTTGTAAAAAACCTTTTTTTTCAAAAATTTCCAATTAAAAAAAAAAAAGAAAATAAGGTCCTGTCGTATTTTCAGGGCACCATGATAGATAGCTTGCGCTCTTTATTTAGCATTTGAGTGTGGAATTTGTTTTTGGGGATAATACCAATGGTGTGTAGAAAACCAGTCAGTTTATGAGAATGATGACAGAACGAAAAACTCACACTGGCTCCTATTCTACTTTCTATGCCAAAGTATTATTTAGAAAAAAAATTCCAGGTTCTTCATCTTAAAAGTCAACTTTAAGGCTGCAGCGTGCTCCATATTTGAAGCATTTCGAAGTAAATTGTGATAAAGTAAGTGATTCAGAGAGGAAGTAATATGCTTATAATAAATCTTATTGGATGCATTATTTCCTTCGAATTCCTTTTCTTGCGTGTCTATAACCCAGAGTCTTTAAAAAAAAAACTTATTACATCTTTCCCATTATACAATGGATGCAGATTACCATTTCCACGCACAGAAATGGGGTGGATTTATTTAAGACAGACAAAAGTAACAGAGAGGTGGGTTTTTCTTTGTTTTTAAAGAAATGGGTTGTTCTGACTTTCTCCCATCCCCGTGCACATCTGGCTCAGTCAGCACGATGCCCCCATAACCTGCAAAATGTCTTAAATGGAAAAGGCTGTTTGCGGAAAAGGAACAAAGGAAAGAAGATGCTCAGAACAAAACAGCCTCACAGCTCCGATCCCGAGAGTGCCTGAACTCCAGGCAACGATGCTCTATCATTTTGGAGAACTGAAGCAATTAAGCGGCAATCCTATGCGGCCCTGGATAAGCAGGACTGAAGCAGTAGCTTGGTTGGTTCTTCAGCTCCTTTAAGGTTTGAGATGAGGATGTGATGGATTCAAAAGAAGAAATAAGATCAGTCTTTAAAGACCAGGGTAGAAAAATTTCAGGGACCTGCAGTCAGGGGAGGCAGAGCCTCACCACTGTCATCATGAAAAGAAAAAATAAATGTAAAAGGAAAAAGGNATGTTTCTTTCTTTTCACATCCAGAGAAATATTCTGCCTTTTCAATATTTCCTAGGTTATTTCATTTTTCTGGGAGGAGGCTGGATGATAACTTCCCACAGAAGAAAGTTAGCACTCACCCTTCTTAGAAGAATGGTGGGTTACTATATCTTATACCTTTTCTGCTTTTTTGATTAAGTTGCTTTTCCAAAAAGCGTGATATGCATGTAGGTTCATCCCACAAAGTTTCAATGAAAGCAACACTATCCTAATCAAACGGATCAGTCATAACTAAGTTTCATCTGTATCGAACGGTTACTTATCTCCCTAACGAGATGTAAATCATGGTTAACCCGGAAGTTTGGTTTCTTGACAAACAACGTCGCTCTACATCTGTTTTACGTTACGTGCGCAGTCTTAACATCACCATAGAGAGGTAGAATTACCCGGGTTTCCCTTTCCCGGGCTCATCCTTTCCTTCCCATAGTTCTTTGCACGTCGGCGGCCTCTTCCGGTCTCTTTTTTCCCGGCGGTGCCAACGCCACCATGGTAAGGATTGAAAGGGAAGAGCTGTTGAATCGGTTATAATCATCTCCGGGGAAGCAGCCTGGAGAGCAGGTTGTATTGGGCTGGTAAAGAGGGAAACATACAAGTCCTGGAGGCCCAGGATTGAACCCCGATACTAGGGAGGCCTGCCCGCAGAGGGCGGTGGTGGTTGCAGGATGGGGTTCGGGCCTAAGAAAGCTCTCAGTTTGCGGGCGCTCCTAAAGATCGGGGGGGGGGGGGAAGAGGCCTGAACACTCGTGTGCACGACAAGCCCGGGTCGAATTCTTAAATTTAATTATTTTGGTTGTAATAAAATAATGTTTGGTGAAAAACGCGGAGTCTAGTGTCACAAAAGTTGCGTCACATATCCTCTAAAGCACGACGTTATTTTGGAAAAGTAGTTTTGGTGCCATGTGACTATTATAAAATAGTGATAAAGAAAGGGCTTCTATTTTTTTTATTTGTCTATTCTTGTTGTTTGAGCAAACTGATTGAGAGGCATAGGATCCATAGATGTCATCCAACGAGATCTGATATACACAGCATAAGTAGCAGTAGGTATCAAGACACTTTTCTGGATATGGGAATAAATAACAGTACAGAACAAGAGAAAACTCGTTGAAAATGCGTTGGTGAACCTGATATTGGTACTAAAGAGAAAACAAAGATAGGGGATAGGTCCTTTCCTCATGAAATGTAGATAAACGTGAAGGGCAGTGATGCACAAAGAGAAGACAGTATAATTTGAGAGGAACACACAGTTAAAGGGAAAAGATTCTCGGTTGAATGACTTGGAGGGATTGGAAGATGAACTTGTATTGTGATTTGGACTACATTGATTTGGGAAGAAATGTACTCAAACCATTACTTACAAGATGCTTCAAACACTGTTTTAAACATAGCACATTTTCCCCTATGAATTAATTAGTTGATGCAAAGCCTATAGGAACAGTAGTAATATAATTCTAGTGTACAGGTATGACCACCATTGTGTCCAAAATGTATGTTGTTAAGAGAGAAATTTGTAAAGTGAGTTTTGCTCCATTTTATGACTTTTCTTGCCACATTTGTTAAGTGAATCACTGCAGTTATTAAATTAGTAATTTTTTTAATGAATCTGGTTTCCCCATTGACTTTGCTTGTCAGGTTGCAAAAAGGTGACCCGGAACACTACAACTATCATAAATGTGAGTCAGTTGTCAAGCATCTGAATGTACATCACATGAGCATGGGGATGGTGCAATGGTCATAAGTCACTTTTTCTGTGCTGTTGTAACTTCGAATGGTCACTAAGCAAACTGTTGTAAGTTGAGGACTATCTGTAGTTCAGTTTACTTTATTGCAGTCACCTACTTACCTCTGTGTGCTTCCCAGGCTGAAGAATGACAAGGTACCTAAAGCAAGACTGGATCTCCTGATTTTCCAGATTTCTATCCTAATGCATGAACCACTACACTAAATTCAGAGTAATTTTTAAAAAATGCAATTATCAAACTATTGAAATCTAACAATACTAAATGGAAGTGCGAAACCTAAATGTGAACAACTTATTTAAAAATTGAAATAAATCTGACTAGCTTGTCTGTGAAAAAAAAAAGTCCTTTACTTATTGGTATGTTGTCGTACCTGGCTGTATTCATTGAGACATAGCAGATGAATGAAATCGGTGTTTCTCAAGCTCAACAATTTTACGATGGATGAACTTCAACTCCCAGAATTCCCCAGCCAGCATTTGACTAGGGAATTTTGAAAGTTGAAGTCCATGCATCTGAAAAGTTCTTGAGGTTGAGAAAGACTGGGTCAGATAGTAATGGATATAGATAAGTCTGAATAACTGACATTGTCTAAAAAGGAGAATAACTGCTGCTTATGTGAAACAGCATAATAGTATGGTGCAACATAACTGTATGTCTGTTGCTGTTGTGCCATATATAATTCTAATGTATTTTATATTTTGTTCACATGATTTTTACATACATATCTGACTCTAACCCTTACAGGTAGAAAACTATTTGAGAGATATATTGTCATTCACAGTGCAATTTTATAAATGCTTACACAGAAGATCTTATAATTACAGATAGTTTTCTACTTACAACAGTTATTTAGTGACTGTTCAAAGTTACAGCATGTGACTTGTGTGACTTATGACTATTTTTCACACTTAACGACTGTTGCAGCATCCTGTGGCCAAGTGATCAAAATTCAGACGCTTGGCAACTGATTCATATTTATGACAGTTGCAGTGTCCTGGGGTCATGTGATCCCCTTTTGCCACCTTCTGACAAACAAAGACAATGGGGAAATCACATTCACTTACAACTGTGTTAGGTTCTAACAGCAGTGATTCACTTAATGGCAATGGCAAGAAAGGTCATAAAATGGAGCAAAACTTAACAACTATCTCACTTTGCCACATAAATTTTGGGCTCAGTTATGGTCATACGTTGACACCTACCTGTATAGAGAAGCAAACTAATGCTCTCAGAGTCTTGAGTTTTTTCATAGACTTGATACTATACTAACCTTCCATGTCAGAAGCACCAAAGTGCTTCTATGCTTTGGATCAGGATCAGCCAGTGACGTCACCATTGCTTGGGGGGATGCCCAGTTGGGACTTCTTTCATGTCCCCGTTAATGAGCTCACCAAAGTGGTACCTATTTATTTACTTGTGTTTTCATGCTTTCAAACTGCTAGGTTGGCAGGAGCTAGAGTGAATGATGGTTGGCTTACCTTGTCACACAGCAACACTTGGGCTTCAAATATGAGCCTTCAAATTTGTCAACCCAGCCTCCTTACCATGTGAGCCAATGCGTTCCTTATAGACTAGATGTTATTGTACTGGAGATTAGATTTTGATACAAACATATCAGAGGTTTTGGGGTATGCCTGCTCTGGCAGCAGGCCCTGATTTTTTGCAGGCCCTGATTCGAGTTTAATTAGAGCACTTTGATTTTGATCAAGCTAAACTCTTATTTGACACCAGAAGTTTATATGATATAATGCCAAAATACAGGTAGGCCTCGACTTACGACCACAATTGAGCCCAAAATTTCTGTTATGTGAGACCTTTGTTAAGTGAGTTTTGCCCCATTTTATGACCTTTCTTGCCATGGTTGTTAAGTGAATAATTGCAGTTGATAAGCTAGTAACAGAGTTGTTAATTGAAGCTGGCTTCCTCATTGACTTTGCTCATGAGAAGGTCACAAAAGGGGATCAATATGACCTTGGGACACAGCAACGGTCATAAATATGAGCCAGTTGCCAAGCATCTGAATTTTGAACAGACGATCATGGGGATGATACAAAGGTCGTAAGTGTGAAAAATGGTCATATGTCACTTTCAGTGCCATTGTAACTCTGAACAGTCACTAAATGAACAGTTGTAAGTCCTTTATACTACCTGTATGAAGAAACAAGATATTTTTTTATTTGTCAGGGAAAGGGCATATATGAGATATTTCCACTAACCTGAATATTTCTCTTGTTTGTCACCAGGGAATTGATATTCGCCACAACAAGGACCGTAAGGTTCGTCGTAAGGAGCCCAAGAGTCAGGATATTTATCTTCGTGTCTTAGTCAAGGTGAGAGCCAACTTTTGCATTTCCGTGAAGAAATGTAAAGACATAGAGGTTATTGGGGGAGGGAGTTATACTTGACAGCAGTGTGCTGTATATATAAAGGTTCTAGGTGTCATTGATCACTTTTGCACGATATGATTCTCAGTTGCTGGGAATCCATTAGCAGTATTTAGATTTAAGTTTAGACCGTTCATTTCTTGAATGTACTGTGTATAAGACACACTCCACCACCCACCCACCACCCCAAAAAGTGGGCGGAAACGTCTGCATCTTATACAGCAAATGTTGCCGAAGCCCTGCCCACCCGCTGCCCCCCACACTTCAGCCTCTGCCTCCCAGCAATTTGCCTCCTTGCAGCAAACGGCCTCGTCAGCTTTAGCAGCTGATTTGTGGTTTGTTCCGGAATACCGCCTATCAGCTGTTCTAGGCTGCAGGGATCGCCATCGCCGCTGCTGCATATTGCCACCTCTGTGCATCCTGTTTTTGGCCTCCACATGCCCCATTTTTGGCCTGTTCCAGGTGGTGGGGATTGCCGCCGCCGCCTATCCCTGCCACCTGGAACAGGCCAAAAACAGGTGGCGCGGAGGCCAAAAACGGGACGTGCGGAGGTGGCAATAGGTGGCAGCGGCGATGGGCGGTGACAGTGGCGATGGGCGGTGGTGATCCCCACAGCCTGGAAAAGCTGATAGGCATTATTCTGGGAGGCAGATCCAACCACAAATCAGCTGTTCATGCTAAATCAGGCTGTTTGCTGCAAGGAGGCAAATTGCTGAGAGGTAGAGGCAGATTTTTTTTTCTTGTTTTCTTCCCCAAAAGCTAGGTGTGTCTTATAGTCCGAAAAATATGGTATATTGGTATATACAGGATAACCAAGGGTATGTTTATGCAATTAAGTAATTCAGCTTTATCTCCACTCAGTCCCACATTTTGCCTCTGATTCCATTGAGCAGCCTGGGCAGCGACCTCTCTCATAATGATCCAGGCGATATTAGGAGAAAGTGGGCTGTTCTTTGTGGTGATATTTAAGGAAAGGGTGGGCTTCATTTGCAAAGGTCTTATATTGAATAAGGTGAGCTATAAAATGCTTTGGATTTGAGGCTAATTTCCAGGTACCTTGGGACAGGGAGAGAGAATAACGGCACATATTTGGAGGTTTAATTTCCACTGTCTTAGCTCTACAGATTCCTGGCTCGCCGGACCAATGCCAAATTCAACAAGGTGATACTCAAACGGCTGTTCATGAGCCGCACCAACCGGCCACCATTGTCCGTGTCTCGCTTGGCAAGTGCAGAGTATTCAATTCTCTTATCGCTTTTCTCTTTCTTCTTGGTCCTTCAGATACCCCTCAGTTTTAGTTTTTTCTCTGTTTGCTTTGCTGTTGCCATTGTTCTTTTCCTGTTAAAAGAACAGGTGGTGCCACCACTGCTGTGGCTTTGACCAGATGGAGAAAAAAGAAAAGAAGGGTGGAAGTTGGTATCAGTGATGAGCAATGTTCCCTCTAAGCTGCGCGGCTGCGCACGTAACAAGAAAACACAGCGCAGAAGTTTTAAACTGCCGCGCAGTGTTTTTTAATGACTGAAAATATCCCCCCTCCCTCCCTTCTCTCTTTGCACCGAACGCTCTCCTCCATCTGGTGATTGGTGAAATCAAGGAAGACTGCCCGGAGACCGATGACGCTGCAGAAGGGAGAATTCCCATTGGTCCTCTAGGGCTTCATCGGTTCCTGGGAAAACGCGATTTGCTGGTTGTAGCCTGCGTTTCTCTGCACATCCGGGGTTCCTCAGGCATTGTGTCGTCTGAAGCCTCGTTCTGGGCTCGGCAGTCTTTCTGCGATCCCTTCGCTTTGCGGAGAGAGGGAAGCAGCGTGGAGTTGGACTGCCTGAGCCAAAGGGGTCCACGGGATCTTGAGACTTGATTTTTGAGCAGTACCAATCCATTCCACTCTTTCCTTTCCCTTTCTGTCCTTCTTCTAACTTCCTTTCCTTTTCCTTTCCTTTCTCTTTTCTTTTCCTTTCTCTTTTCCTTTCCTTCTTTTCCATTTCCTTTCCGTTCTCTTTGCCTTTCCTTCTTTTCCATTTCCTTTCCG